CAGACTTCCCAACAGGGTAAACTCAGTACAGAGTACTTCAGCCACCCGAGGTGCACAGTTTGGTCCCTTTGGCCTGTGTTCCCATGGCTGCCATGCTGATGGGCAGAAGTCACTATTGCTCGGTTAGCAGCAGCATGTGTGAGGAGGACAGGCGGGCCTCCCCAGGCTTGAGGACGGTCCAACGACACTAGGCAACAGAACTCGGGAGCCAGGTCCCTCCTAAGACAGCTGAGGAGAGACTCCAGCTGGGGAGCAAAGAACAGGGATCCCAGTGTGACTGGTCAAGGATCCCAGTCACCACCTGAGCAAGCGCATCTACAGAGAGGGAAGACATCTAACTGGTCCTAGTTCCGAGGACAGCACCTGGCGCTATCTGTGTCCCCTCGGCAGACTTGGGCTCTGTGTGGAAATTTATCCTCCATCCATCTGCCTAGCCTGAGGTCCCTCACGATGGCTCACTGAACAGGGGACACAGGGGTGAGGGGCTCTTACTGTTCTTTATTTACGGCCGCTGCAGAGCCAAACACCCTGCACGACGTCCTTCCTTAACAGGACTCTGGAGTCTGTGGACAACCGGGTCCCCACAGCCATCTGTGCTACCCTATCCTCAGCGTGAGTGAGGCCCCGAGGAACAGTGGCTTCTACAGCGCATGCCCCACACCTGCCTGGGCTTCCCCCTTCCCACGCTCCAATCAGGAAAAAGAGAAAGAAAAGAAAAACTCAGAAACCTGAAGATTGTTTGGAATTTATTCTCTGAAATAAGAATGTAACATTTGTTAAGAAAAAAACAAACAAACAAACAAAAAAAAAACCAGAAACCAAAAAAACCTTAGAGCACAACACCTTGGTTTCACAGTAACGGCAAAAACAAAGTTACACAATTAAATTAAAAACTCACAAAGCAACACACCAAAAAACTCACAATAGCACAGATTAAAAACAAGGACGAATTAAAAGCTTTAGGGAAGTTCAGAGAGGACAGGACAGTGTCCCTTGGCACAGCTAATCTTCCCCACTCTGGCTTCTATGTACCTTAGCTTTGGGCATAGTCGGCTGCCGTCTCCTGCCTCACCCCAAGAGAATGGCAGCGTGGTTAACAGTGAACCCCTTACTTCCCTGGCCCGTTCTCAGTGGCACCGGGGGCCTAGGACGATCCCACTGTGCTGCAGGAAGCAGCCAGGCACAGTGAACGCGAAGACAGCGGGGAGCGACCCAGCTCCTGTGGAGCTGGCAGCGCCCACACGTTGACTTGAGGGCAGTCAGGAGTCTGACTCTCTGGTCCCCCTACCAGCAAGACTACTGCTTGGAAAACTGATTGCCTGAGTTTAGGGGTCCGCACCACCCATCTTCTGAGAGACCCAGCCCCCTGTCTGCGCCTCGCTGATGAGCTCCCTTGGAATGCTGACTAGGCTGGGGTCAAGCCAGGGCAAGCTTCCAGAAAAAACTCCTATGGCTTTCAGATCAACAAGTAACTTTAAAAACAGTCTCACTGTTATCATTTAGGGCATGGTATATATAAATAGTACCTACCTACACACTGAACTTCAACCCGTACACATACAGATACACGGATATACATACACTGAGAGGTTGGCATATACGAATGTTCACTCAGTGCCACTGCTTGGCTTTGGCTCTACTGGTTGGGTTGGGGAGGCAGACAGGGTGGCAGCTGATTCAGAGCGTTCCCTTTGCTGGGTTTTACAGCAGGCTTAGGAGGGACGAGGCCCTAGGAAGCCATGAGAGGATCCCTGGCCTCCCCACCAGGCAGCGTGGCATTCTCTGTAGCATGCGGCTATTCTGGCTAGTGTGGACAAGGCCTGTGTTTCCCAACAGCCTACCGAGATTCAAGCATGGAAGCCAATGGGCACCAGGTACTGTGTGAAGAGTGTCTGGGGCCAGGGAACAGGCCAGTGCCACTTGTAACTACAGCTTCTCCAGGAAAGACACTCTTCCTCACAAGGTGACTGGGGCGCATGCTCCTCCCGCCTGCTCTCTGTTCTCTGCGCTGCAAATGTTCTAGACACTGCGTACCGGGAGGAGGGCTCGTTTCCCCTTCCCACCCACGTGCCCTGTGCCTCACTTTTGGTTCTGCAGAATGGGATTCCTCTACCCAAAGAAGGAACCCCTGGCAACCAAGGGCTCACATCCGAGAGAACAGCCATCCCATCCCGGGTTTTCTTTGCCTGTTGTCCAGACGCTTCCTAAACTCCAGGCAGGTACCGTGAGGCCAGGGGAAGGAAATCTGTGCCAGGCCCACTGATCTGTGGCAGTGAGAAGAGGCGGCTTGGAAACAAAGCAGTTACAGGTGGGAGAAGAGAAGGAGGAGTTCTATAGTAAAAGCACATTACAAACAGAAATCCTGTCAACAGCGTCTCAAACAGCGGGCCAAGCGGCAGTGGGAGACAAGGTTACCGGAGGAAGACAGCGCGTTAAGTCGGGCCTATGCGAGGTTTCGGTGGGTTATGTTGTTATTTGGGGGTATGTTTCTGGCTGTTACTTTGTTTTTGCAACAGCACTAATTCTTGCCTAAGGGGAAAAAGGGAGCAGAGTGAAGGAAGAGAAGGCGTGCAGGGCCAGGCATGCAGGGCCGCTGGCCACAGCCCGGCACTTCCTGCTCCTCCTCCACGGTGGGTTCCGGGGAGCACGGGCAGCACCACGTGACAGAGCAGGGACCAGGTTAAGAACCCTTCTGTGACACATTCTGGGAGCCTGAGGCACTGGGCTTTGTCTGAACCTTTCGGGAGGATATTAAGTCAAGCACTCAAAGCTAGTGTGGGATTCAAAGGAGGCATTTCTACCACAGAAGAAATGAACAGAAACCTATTGCATGGCAACTCTAAAATGTCCCTCAGAATTCTGCCCCCCTTCCCAGTCCTTTTCAAGGGCAAGTGCTACGGATTTGAGCATGTTCAGGACTCGGGGCTGGGATTTCCAAACCGGGAGTCCGGCCTCCCGTTGCAGGGAGTCCTAACCCTGGGGTAGGGTTCAGAGCCAGCCTTGCTCCCTTTGGACGTTCAGCCTGGGGTACCTTGGGACGCCGACTCTTCACCCTCTCCTGCTGTTCTGAAAGCCTGTTCTACCTCAGGCCGTTTCTCTGTTGTTCTGATTCCTTAACCACACTGGCAAATCCCATTTTCTCAGTGTTTTAAAAGCATCCTTCTCCTTATCTATGGATCCCCTTAATTCTTCAGAGTGCCCTAAAAATCCAAAACCCATTATGCTTTCCTTGGACAGACAGAGAGGCAAAATGAACAAGTCAAGAGTTAGCAAAACCACGGATGCTTCTTTTTAAAAGAGTGCTCTTGCGCCCTTCACCCGTGGGGAAAGCGCAACTCTGACTGAGTAGCCAGGCTCCTTGGCAAGCTGACTAGGTGCGGCTGTCACCCGATCACATGCACATTCCAGGGTAAAGCCAAAGTTGTGTCTGGGGCCAGCGTCCTTTTCTCTGCCAGTGTGCGCTCTGGAGTGTCAACTCCTGAGAAACACTACCAAGGGCTGACAGACTTCCCAGGGCTCAAACTCACGCCTGGCTTAAGTCTGGTTATAAACTGTGAGTCCCACCACGAGAGCACTAAAAGCTCCCGCCTCCTCAGAGCGTGAGCAGGGAACACAGAAAAGCGGCAGTCAGGTTCACTCGACCTGGCTGGGGTTCCTGTGCCTTGGAGGCTTAACATACCCCCCACCCCCACGTACGCCCGCCAAGCGCCAGGCACATTCTCCCTCCTCTGGTACCAGTGCCCAAAGGCTGTGTCCACTCCTGACTTCATCAACAGAAGCAGCTCTATTTCAAAGCTAAGAAAATACTCCTCCATCACGGAAAGTATACATAAGCTCCTCAGTGGGTCCTGGCATTTCATTTTTATTTGAGTTTGTACCTGGTTGTGTAAGATATATTTGCTGCTGGGCATAGTGGCGCACACCTGTAACCCCAGCACTTGGGAAGCAGAGGCAGGTGGAGCTCTGTGAATTTGAGGCCAGCCTGGTCTACATATCCAGTTTTAGCCAGGGCTACACAGTGAGAATCTATCTCAAAAACCCCATACAAAAAATAAAATATAAAATAAAATATATATACTTGTTGTAAACAAGAGAAAATGTGTGACATACATAAATATAGTGCTAGAGACTTCACACATAAAGAGCAACCCATGAGAGACACCTGGGGCCATCACAGGTGACTCAAGACCTCTCAGCAGTATACAGAACTGTGGCTAGTTTTACAAGGGCAGACAGGGGGAAATTATAAGGGGGAAAAAAAAAAAAAACAAGACAATTCTCTACAGGCCTCATGTTCCTGACACTCTACCTTGTTCCCCATTCTACCTTGCAGTGGACAGAGACGGCATGTTTTCTGAGGTCTGAGGTAGGATGGAACCGCTGAGCTCTTGACACAGGAAGTGGTTAAGAGAGTGGGACAAGGGGTCTTGACCCTCACTGGAAACTCAGATGCCTAAAGTGATTAGGAGCGGGTGGTCCTTGTCACATGGACGATCTGGACACAGAGCTGGGGAGCGGGATGCAAAAACTTCAAGTTACAGTGAACACATTCAAACTGTGGGCCACAGTTTTCTCTGAGACGTGAAGAAACAGGCCCTCCCCAGGAGTCACAGAGCAGAAGCCTATGGCTCTGGGATCTCCCTGGCTCAGTGACACAGCAGCCTCTTGTGGGTTTCTGTTCACCTACGGGGTCTGCACCAAGTCCCTCGGTGTGCCTTGGGCGTGTGGGGCAAGCCCACTTACCAGACTGCACCATCACTGGCTCACAGTCTGCCAGTGGAACTCCCCGCCAATCTGCACCAGAACCTCCGACAGGCCGTAGAGGAAGGGGACCCCGAAGGCCAGCAGCTGACACATGAAATAGGAGTCCGGGGGGTTCTGGGCCACTTGATGCCCAATTGAAGAAATGTTGCTTTGGAGGTGCTGACTCATCCCCTTGGCCTTGTCACAGAGGCCGAGGGAGTGATGCACCACCCAGCCAAACAAGGAAGTGAGGCTACCTGGAGTTCTCTCAGCTGCGCTGGCGGCCACGCTGGCCAGTCCATTTGCATCTGCAGCAGGGGCATCCTGCAGGGGTCCTTTGGCGTCCTAGAAGAGTCCATAGGAAAAAAGAACAGTGATTCGAACTGCAACCTTGGACTCAGCAGGCAGTGACCCCGAGACTGGCTACTCTGTCTGTCTACTGTATTCCTCAGAGAGGAGGCCTTCCTCAGAAAGAAGGCTTTTGATCCTCTTAGATATCAAAATCTGTGATGCACTGACATATAACATATATGCATGCTCTTGCCAACTTTAAATGCTCCCTGGATGACTTACATAACAATGTAACTACTCTCAGAATAAAGGGTTATTATACTGTATTGCTTAGAGGCCAGGAGAGTCTGCACAGATCCAGTACAGAAGTATTTTCCCTCCATGCATGGGACCTAGGATGGACTCCGTGGATGCAAAAGCCACTGTACACCTCTTCCCACCATCCCTGTGTGGTATGCTGTCCATGAAGTGAAGGGATTACTCAGGCCACCTTGACAAAACGAGAACAGACCACTCTCATTGAAGCAAAAAAAAAAAGTCAAGGGCTCAGATACTAACTCATGGAAGCAGAGGTCAAAGGGCATCAGGCAGAGCGGCTATGGCAGTCTGGTCTCCTCAGGATGGAGAGCAGGGGTTGGCCCTCAGATGCCTGGGCTGTGGGCCTGAGGAAAGGGAGGGACTCCTGAGGCTGCCTGTTCTCCAGCTACAAGAGAGCTCTGACCTCTGGGAGGGAACAGTTCCTTACGGTGAGCAGCAGGGCGCCTTTCTGCTCAGAACAAGCCCGGAGCACAGTCTCTGAGAGTGGCACCCTGTAAACCTGGCTTGTCTGCACCCAGCCAACTGCCGTCCCTCTCAAGCCCGCTCATGGGACAGGCGGCACTCTGACAGTCCCACTCACAGAAGTTACCTTTGCAGACAGAGGAGCCACGGCTGGCCTCTTCCTTTGCGCGTAGCCAGACAGCCGGTAACAGTAGTGCGGCTTACAGTAGAATTTGCCTACGGACAGAAAGAAGCCGGGAAAAGAGGAGTGAGCAATACGCCCCAATGGCGAACTTGGCTTGCTGGCCACAGGATGCCATTGCGTAACTCCTACCCCCGAAAGCTCCCAACTCCCCCCACAATCCAGAAAGGCCGGCCCCGGCCTCCTTTCCCTGTGTCTGATGCAGAGGTCTTTCCCTTTGGGTGTGTGAGGGCTGGTGAGCCACCACCAATCAGTGCCCAGAGCAAAGATGTGAGGCTTGCATGACAGAGCCAGCAAACAAAGTAGTAGTGTGTGAGGACAAAGACGTGGTCACATGAGACCCGCAGCGGCATTTCTGGGGAGGGCAAGAATGAATACAAGGGCAGGGTGGAGGCAGGAAGGCTTGAAGGGCTAGGGCGGTGCCAGTTACTAACTCTGACAGAACTGTCTCTGCTCCCCTCCACTACCGTGGACTCCCACCCTCACTAGCCTCGGCCAGTCCAAAGCAGGCTGAACCCCACAGTGTGCTAAAAATGATACAAGGGGCGAGACGTGGCTGCAGGTAGAGGAGCTGGCTGCGCAGGAGCAGGACCACCTGACTTCCATCCCTGGGACCCACGCAAAAGGCAGGACATGGTGGCGGGAATCTGCAATCCCAGCATTCCTATGGACAGACAGGAGGCGGAGACAGGAGAATCCTCGCGGGTCAGCTATCCCGGAGTATGCAGGGCAGCAGCAGAAACAGGAAAGGAGACCGAGCCTCAACAAGGTGGATGGAGATAACTGACTCCCCAAAGTTGTTCTCTGATCTCTACACACAGGGTGTGGTATGCATGCTTATGCACATGCACACACACGCTCACACACACACACACACACACACACACACACACACACACACGCTCACACACACACACACACAGTGGGGGGATCATAAACAGACTGCCACACCAACTCCAGTGTCGTCCATGTGACATGAACAACTATGTCTATAATAGCAGACGGGAGATATGTGTCCCATGGGACTAAGCTCCCTGGAGGTCCCTGGCAGAGTGCCCGTGTTATGCCTCCTTCTCGAAGGAGACGTGTTTCACAGATCATGAGCTCCCTGGGCTATGGGTTCTGTATAACTGCTTTTCTGATAATGTTCTAATTAATCTATGAAGCACAGCCAGAACTAATGAATGCTTGGGTTGTGAACTATGGAGGGAAAGGGGAAGCTGGACATGGATCTTAATCAGATATAGCAGAATGAGCTATTTCTTAAAGATCCCAAGCCACTAGATAAAGAAAGTATAATACTTCAGGCACTTCTAGGGAATGAACACTCATCCACTAGGAATCCTTTAAGAATCCCAACTAAAGTGATTTATGGTAGAAAACGTTATCCCATAGGAGACAGATGATGGGCCCCTCTGTTGAGGAAGTTCAGCATGGAAAACTTAAAGACTACAGCAGAACTCCTTCCCCTTACAGGTGTAAAAAGTACAAGAGTCCATATTCCAGCAGGTAAAAAGATTTTATATTAAAAGAGATATGTGGTGGGAGAACTAAAGAAAAACTTAGAGAGGGTCTGCAGCATCCAAATTGGCTAAGTGGGTCATGAGAACCAGAAAAGTAGGAGTGTATAATAAACTAGAAAGCTGCTGAGATAAGATAAGGCACACAGCTACAACCGCAAAAAGTCTACACAAATCTAGGGACTGTACTGTTTAAAAAACACAGACTGCTCTTTGGGTCATAAAGTTCTTACGGGTGAAGGGATATGCCTAGTGCGGATTAATAATTGTGTGCTTTGTGCTTGCTGTTTTTTAAAGATGATGTAATTGAATTATTGCCAAGCTCTTGTTGTTCCTTGTACAGTCATATATATATATATATATATAAAATTTTTTTTTCTTTTCTGTATATAAACTACTGATTTGCAGAAGTAAAATTGCAGCAGATTCAAACCATTGGCCGAATCCTTGCCTTCCTGACTCCCCAAGCCCTGGTTCTCCTACAGTCGTGGTACCCCTGATGGGCCAGTCCATGGCAACAGACCAAATAAACACAGTGAAACCCAGGCGTGTGCTTCAATATAACCAAGGCTAACCATGATTTCCTAGAACTTTTGGCCCTCTCTACATGCATTTACTGGGTCTTACCTAAAGTGATGTTATCTCCTGAGGTGAGCGAGGCCAAAAAAAAAAAAAACACCACCACCACCACCAAAAAACGTTTGCAAGGCCCATTTCCCTTTGCAACACAAGTGGGCTGGAATGAACCAAGAGTCAGGTAAAACCAATCTCTTCTCTAACTTGAGGTGTGAATGCTCTTCGGCATCAGCTCCGTCCTGAGAACGGCTGCCTCAGGAGCTGCCTGCTTTCCCTTATCATTTGCCAAGAACACCGTCAACAAAGGTAAACCCAGGAACAGACGGTCAAAGGAATCAAGGCGAGCGCCTGCTCTCCCCTCTCCCCTTCCCTGGGGATCTGGTGTGTCCTCCTGCTGTGTGTGCACGGTGCACGCACGGGTGCACGAGCGGAAACCAGGGTGTACGCCCCTCTAAAACTTCCTGTTTTATTGCCTTGAGATGGGTCTCTCACTGAATTGGAAGCTTGCATTTCAGCTACCTTCCGAGGAGTCCCCAGGGTCTGCCTGTCTTTGCTTCCTCAGGTTGGGGGTTTACAGGGATGTGCAACCATGCCAGGCATTTTTATGTGGGTACTGGGGGCTCAAACTCAGATCCTTATTGTTCGAATCTTAGATGGTCTTATTAATAGAAAACCCAGAGCCAGCTATCAGGGTGAAAGCTGAAAGATCAGCCAGCCACTAGTTCTCACCTCTATGAAATCCTAATCGAATCTTAGATAGTCTTTTAATACCTTATGTCTGCAGAGCAAGTGGACTTACCCACAGAGTCATCTGCAACCCCTGTGTATTTTCCTCATTTTATAAAGTGGTTGACTTTTCCTTTATCTGCTTTTCTTACTATGTTAAGTCAGCATTGTCAAAATACCCAGGAATACAACTTAAAGGAAGAAATACTTATTTGGCTCATGGTTTTAGAGGTCTCAGTCCAAGGTTACTAGGTCCTACTGCTTTGGGCTTTGCTGACCTGCAGGGCATCATGGTCGAGAGCAGGTGGAAGGGGATGTGATGCTCCCTTCAAGCTGGCAAGAAGCAGAGAAAGCATGGGGAAAGGGGAAGAGGCTGGACAAGTTATATCTTCCCAGGGTTCATCCTTGTGACCACAGTTTTCAACCAGGCTCCACCTCCTAAAGTTTCCATCATAACTTAACAATGCCATTACCTTATCTATCCATCTGTGAATTAACCCACTGATGAAGTCAGAGGCCTTATGAGCCAGCTGCCTTCCAAATACCTATCAGCTAATAGCCAAGCCTTTAATAATGACTGTAACCAGATAGTTTAGATTTAAAGCCAATGGTGAAAAACAATCGCAGTGAATTTTACGGGCTTCAGATAATAGTCACATTTCCCTAAACAGATTTCTCACCAGCTGCTGGCACTCAGGACTTAGAGACCTGGCACTGTGGGTCCACATGATGGGCAAAGGCTGTCATTTCACTGTCTGCTTCTCTTCAGGTGAGCAGAGTTTGTTTATGTGATTTTTTTCTTTTGTTTGTTTTGTTTTTAGCTTATCCACAATTCCTTTCAGATAATCTGTAATAATCCACTCCGTTCTTTTGGAAGCTCCCCCCAGTAAATAGAAGATAAATTATATTAGGACCTGGATCATCCTCTATGTTTTGGGTCTGTTTTGTATTTCACTCTTTAAGAAATACCCATCCTCTTTCATTGGACAGTGATGGGACGATCACGGGGGATACTGGACCAGACTGGTCAACCTCAGCTACCTCAGGACCCGTTCATTCCCCAGGGCTGGATGTGACTGAGGTCAGGCTGATCAGGGCCATTAAGGAGGACAGCTGTGACCTTCAATGAAGCACTTCTGAGCCTATTTAAATTTTATCTATCTATCTATCTATCTATCTATCTATCTATCTATCTATCTATCTATCTACCCACCCATCCATACATCTATCCATCTTTCTGTGTGTCTGTCTATCATCTATCTATCTATCTATCTATCTATCTATCTATCTATCTATCTATCTATCCATCCGTCGGTCCGTCTATTATCTATCTATCTATCTATCTATCTATCTATCTATCTATCTATCTATCTATCTATGTAATGTATGTCTTGCCTGCAAGTAAGTCTGTGCACCACTTGTGTGCCTGGTGCCCACAGAGACAGAAGAGAGCATTGGAACTGGAGTTACAGACAGCTGTGAACCACCATGTGGGTGCTGGGAATTGGGTCCTCTGGAAGAGCGGCCAGTGCTCTTAACCACTGAGCCATCTCTCCAGCTCCATCGCTGAGAGTATTTAGAAGGAAGACATAACTGTGAAGTTTACACTTTAGTGACTTGACTTTTATCATGAAGCGTGTATATTGTCAGAATTTAAGAACGTTTTACGTTTTTTTATTTATTTCTTGTGTGTGTCTGTGGAGGCAGGCAAGGGGGGGCACATGTGATCGGCGAACAACTTGCAGTCATTGGTTCTCTGCTTCCACCATGTGGGTCTCCAGGACTCCAACTGAGGAGATCAGCGTGGTCCCAGGCACCGTGCTGAGCCACCCCACGGCCTGAGGCTCACTACAAGAACACCCGTCACTGACCATCATTTTCATCGGACTTTTCCTTCTAAGTTAGAAACTCAGATCACAAACTCTCCTCCCAGCTGACCAGCTCTGGATCCTGCTCCACATTAAAACTAAACACAAGGGTTTAAGTTTCAGAAACCAGGCTCAGATCCTAGCCCAAAGGAACATTCCAGAAAACTGTTTTCTCTAGGAAGGTAGTTCATGACGCAAAGGCGCAGCTGAAAAGCACTCTCAGGTAAAGCCAACCTCTCGGCAGCCATTTGGACTCTAGCTTCTTCGGGCTCACTTCCGCCCACAGCAAAGGAACAGAATTCCTACCTTGGAGAGTGAAACAGTTCTCCATCACAGGTGTGTGTTATGTGTGCTCCATTAACCATCAATGCTTCTCTCTGTTTCTGGAGGTACGGACTCATGTAGCCCACCCTGACCCTGAGCCCCTGATCTTCCTTGTCTCCACCACTCAAGTGCTGGGTTACAGGTATGTGCCACTATACCTAGTTTTAATGTAGTTTCTTATTTTCTTCCCCAAACTCAACTTATTGACTTTTCTGTTTTTTTTTTTTTAGATTTATTTATTTATTTATTATGTATACAGAAGAGGGCGCCAGATCTCATTACAGATGGTTGTGAGCCACCATGTGGTTGCTGGGAATTGAACTCAGGACCTCTGGAAGAGCAGTCAGTGCTCCTAACCTCTGAGCCATCTCTCCAGCCCTACTTTTGCTGTTTAATGAATTAAAAAAAGAATACACACACACTAATTTTTACCTAACACTTACTATGTTCCAGACATGATTCTAATTGCTTTACATCTATCCATTCGTTCAGTGCTCACACAACCCAGGGAGGCACGTAGGGACTGTTACTATCCTTCCATGGGTGAGGCACAGGCAGGCCAAGCTGCCTGCCAAAATGCCCCACAAAGAGCATCTCAGGCAGGAGACTGGCTCCGGAGCCCACACCGCCGGCCACTGCACTATGGCTCCTGTCTCGGGAAAGCCAGCCAGGCTAACACTGTGAATTAATCACGAGTTATAGAGGATTCAATAAAATGACGGACCGCGGAGTGTCTAGATTAGGCCATCCTGACAATCAAACTGAGTGATGGAAAGGGGGACACGGGTCTCCGTCAGGCTGGCCCAAGGCAAACTGGCATCTACTCTGCTGTCTGTGTCATTTAATGACTCGGGTACCATGGACACTGGGACTCCAGTCAAGGGAGGCGAGCACTTCAGTTGCACGGAGCAGAAGACACGGGGTTCAGGAGGAGAAAGCAGTGAACACCGTGGGTACAACCGCAGCCAGTGGTCCAACCGGACCTCAGTGGCCACGTCATGGTCTGGGGAGACCTCAGAGGAGAGGACGTGTGGGGACAGGAAGGCCAAGGAGCCCATTGCAACATGACTAGGAGAGTGTATTCTAGAGGGAGGGGACACTCAAGCAAGATCTGCGGCACCAACTGTGGACTTAGGGAATGAAGATGTGATCAGTGTGCTTTGCCCCGGGTGAACTGTGCCTATCGTTCCCATCGACTGTGCCAGCCCGTGTGTTCAAAAAAAGGCTGGGTCTTCAGCTACTGGGAGAAGCTAGGTCGCTGGGGGTGTGCCCCGAAAGGACCGTGGACTCTGGTCCCTTCTTCCCTCTTTGGCTTCCTGGTAATGAGGTGTGCATGTCTGCTCTGCTGCACACCCCTGCCATGTGCTACGGCGTCACAGGCAGAGAGCAGCGGACCAGAGGCCACAGACCCAAACCTTCACATCGGAGCCAAAGTGAGATTCTTTTCTACATACGCTGATTATCTCAGGCATTTCGTCACATCGACAGCAGTTGATGAACACAGCCTGGTGAGTTCCTAGAGGTACACTCACACTTCTTCTAGACCCTCAAGAGAATGAGGGATCCTCTTCTGGGCACATCCAAGGTAAAAGACTAGAATAACCTAAGTACCAAGGGCAGCTCTGAGGTGGGGCCCACCTGCCAATCCCTCTCCCCGGAGTCGAAGGTGCTGTCCCCAGAGAAACGATGCGTGAGAGATGTGTGAGAGCGGAAGCGAAAACTCGATACCAACAGGTGGCCTTCCGCACCCAGGTGACTCTTTCAGCTCTTCCCTGAGCAGTGAGTGTCTCCACCAGTGCAGGACGGTCACGCTGAGTTCAACACTTAACTCCTGCCTCTTTGTGACAGCCGTGGCTGTCTGTGCTTCGCTACTAGGATCTGTATGACAGGGGTGACTCGGCCGTCACCTTCTGGTCCCTTTACAGTCAATAGACCAACTATTGACACACAGGCTTGCTATCATCCCTGTGAGGACTGAGTTTCCTTTCCTATTTACCTAGGTTTATTACTCCTTTTTTTTT